CTATTATTATTATTACTATTACTATTATTATTATTACTATTATTATTATTACTATTATTATTATATGTGTTGTTATTTTTTATTTTTGTTGTTATTATTATTATTTTATTATTATTATTATTGTTGTTGTTGTTGTTGTTGTTGTTGTTGTTGTTGTTGTTGTTGTTATTATTTATGTTATTATGGCACAATAAAAACTAAGTGTTCATAATTCAGTCATAAACAATCCAACAAAAGAAATATTAAAGGAACATTAATAAATTAAAAGAGACATCATCATCAGGATGTTCACAAACTAACACAAGAAGCACTTTTATATAAAAAAACGTAAAACAATTTAAGTGTAAAAACTTTTTTTTGTTCCAACATTTAACAAAATCATTTCACAGAAATATTTCATCTTCTTTCATCAGTCTAAAAAAAACCCAACAAATAGAACAAAACATATATAATAGTAAAAATACAATATTTCCAACATACATAATAAAACTAAATTAAACAAACATGAAAAATAAAGATAATAATTCAAGTATATTTGTTCATTTGTGTCTTTTCATTTGGTGTAAACGTCATTCAGTTTATTTGTTTCGTCTCGGGGCACGGACGTCACTTGTGTAAACTTATTAGATTCTGTCAAATGTCACATTCCTTTGATCGGAACGCTGTGATTTCAAATCAACGCTGTGATTCCAAATCAACGCTGTGATTTCAAATCAACGCTGTGATTTCAAATCAGCGCTGACAGGATTTAATCTCAGACTTCTTCTCCTCTGGCTCTGCAGATTATCAAAGCGAATATTACGGAGCGGGCGGGAACTACGACTTTTTCCCTCAAGGACCCCCGTCGTCACAGGCCCAAACCCCGGTGGATCTCCCCTTCGTGCCCTCCTCGGGCCCCACGGGCACCCCCCTGGGAGGTATGGACCACCCCCTGCCGGGCCACCACCCCTCCAGCGAGGTCCAGCGCTTCTCTGACATCATGTCCCACCACCCCGGGGACTCCCCCAGCCCGGAGCCTGGGATCCCGGGGCCCCTGCACGGCATCTCCTCTGAAGTGTTCGGCCCCAGCCCGCCTTTTACCTCACTGTCGCTGAACGGCAGCGGATACAACAGCCACCTGTCCCACCCCCCCTCTGAAATGAACGAGGGCACCGTGTGGTAGCTCTCTGACGGACGGCGCTCCACCGGGCTGCGGCTCGGGGACGGAGGACGGTGGTGCCGGAGTCCTGGAACGGGTCGAGGAAAACAACAGGGTTAGGGCAACATCATCAACATTTGTTGTTATTGTTTATTTATTTTTGTGTTTCATATTTTATTTATCTGTTCTTCGACAACATCTCTGTGTTTGAATCGCTTCTCTCACGATCTCACCCAGAGCGTTAAAAACAACTAAACACAAACAGAACTAAGTGAGATGATGACCTCCACCCTCCATGTTTTAGTTGGACCCCCCCCCGGTTACTTGTGCTGATTGCTGTGAGGGGCTTCACGACCAAACTCCGTGTAAAAACTGCTGTAGGTCCGAAACATGACAAGTGGACGAGCTTTACAGAGTGAGGAGCGTCCTCATTCATCCAGAACCTCCTCGGACCTCGTCGCCCATCGAGGCTTTGCCATACGGACGCTGAACCTTTTCACCACATGTTGCTGAAGGCCAGATGTTCCCCTCACGGACCGAACCCGAGGAAAGCCGCCTTCCAAAGGCGACCCCTCCGAGGATCGCTAACCCTTTATTTAAAATGGAAAGGAACTTGAATAGTTGAACGAAGTTCTAACAATTTTCACGGGGGTTGAACGGGACTTAGAGCAGTCAACTGTTTACGTCATCGAATAAATTCAGGAGTTCAGAAGTCTAAAAAAAACGTGTTTTAGAACCTCTTGATCCAGATGTTACGAGCAACCAACCAAACTTTTGTATTAATTTCATTTATATTGTATGAAGAGAAAAAACCCTGGGCTTGTGGTTCACTGTGCTAGTTTGTACAAGATGTTGTTTACAGAAAAGGAAAATAAAATTTAATAAAAACAAGTAGACATTTTGACAAATTTAAAGACAGCACAAACATGCTGAAGTGTTGAGACAAATTCTACCAGTTCAAAGGACGGATTGACTTCACATTATTTCCAGTCAGCCGACAATGCGTTCATCAAAGTGTTAATTGAATATAAAATACCTAGGTTTTATTTTTGTGTCCTCAACGAAGAAAAATCCAAACTAATAAAAATGGACGGTGAAACGTGCAGCTCGCCGCTGCACCATCGCTCTGAGCCCACATATGTCTTTATTGTTCCAGTAAATTTATTAGACCATGCACTGTATTAATTCAAAATGTATTTCTAATAAAACTAGAAAACAAGGATATTTAAAAAAGGCATTTCTTTGGAGCAGATGGTACACGAGGTGCCGTTTCCTATTTGGGCCAGTTTGGTCTTTTTCCTTGTGAACACTTTGCGTATGGACAGAAAGTTGGGCCATCACAAACTGACTTTCAGTCGCTCAGACTGAATCAATTCACATCATTTGAAATTAAATCCACTGGTTTAAAAAGGAAGTTCACTAAACTGAAACAGAATTTAATGGTTTGAAACAGTATTTGATTGTGTTGAAAATCCACTTCTTTTATTTCCAGTTCTAGAATTCAGTTTCAATTACAAAAATTCAGTGTTTTGTGTCACACATCTGGGTCCTTGAGAACACCACAGGGTAATCCAACTCAGATCGACAGATTGACGTCACGTCGATGAAACTTCCATTATGGAACTGTAGGTGCAGGGTTCAGCCTCAAGGAGGTGCTGATGCAACAGAGTGGACGCAATCTGCCATAAAACACCAAAGAAGAAGAACTTCCTTTACAGCATATTTTGAACTGGAGCTGTGGCTCCCAGTTCATGTGGCTCCCAGTTCATGTGGCACCAAGTTCATGTGGCTCCCAGTTCATGTGGCTCCCAGTTGCTCCCAGTTCATGTGGCTCCCAGTTCTTGTGGCTCCCAGTTCATGTGGCTCCCAGTTCATGTGGCTCCCAGTTCATGTGGCTCCCAGTTCATGTGGCGCCCCTTGTCACTGCCTGATCTGTTATGGAAGCACGATCTGTTGTGTTGCTCGGTTGCACATGCGCTAAAAGAAATACTTCCAGGTCGCACGGCTCGCCGTTGACTAGATTAAGGAAAGTGTACTGGTATAATTCTGTTTACGGATAAGAACGGTTTAATTAGAAAAGTTTGTTCTGTATCCACTGATGTTCATGTTGCTTATTCACTCCACTCATATTTCTGTTCAAATCTTTGACATATTGACGTCATGCTTCAAAAGATCTGCAGCTTCACACAGAGCGGCGCTGCTTCACCATGGAAATGATCCATTCTGTGTCTCGCAGGCTTTTTCTCATTCAGTCCAGGGGGGGGGGGGGGGGGGCAGGTCTAATG